CCCCCCGCGCTGCCTGCGCTCGTGCTGCCGCCGCCTCGGCTGCTGCTGCTGCTGGCGGCGGCGGCGGCTCCTGCCCCTGCCCCTGCCGCCGAGCGGGCCACTCGCAGCTTGGGGAGGCGAGCCGGCGCCGGGGCGCGCCGAGCAGCGCTCCGCCGCCGGCAGCAGCAGCCGCACCATGCCGGCCATCAAGCGGGAGCGCCCGGACCGGGAGGAGCTGGCGCTGGCCGCCTTCAACCAGCCCATGGAGACCCTGCCCGACTACCTGGTCCCCTTGGCGGCCGCCGCCATCCCCGTGGTGACCCCGCACCCGCCGCCCTACGAGCAGCTCTTCGCCACCGCCGCCCACCAGCACCACCACCAGCACCACCACCAGCAGCGCGCCTACCTGGACTTCCACGCCGCCCCGCACGCCCACCCGCCGCACCCCCTCCCGGAGGACCTGATGCTGGAGCGCTTCTCCTCCGTCCCGGATTTCCAGCCCTTCTTCGACAGCGGCGAGCCCTGCATCGAGGTCGAATGCGGCGAGAACAAGGCGCTGCTCTACATCAACAAGTTGTGCCAGGGCAGCAAAGGGCCGTCCATTCGCTACCGGGGCGAGTGGCTCACCCCCAACGAGTTCCAGTTCGTCAGCGGCAGGGAGACCGCCAAGGACTGGAAGCGGAGCATCAGGCACAAAGGTACGCCGAGGGGGAACGAACGGCGCCGGCTTGCCAGGGGCGCAGCGCGCTGCGCCGGCCGCTCGGCTCGCGGGAGAAGTTGGCACGCTTTTCCCAGGCCGGAGCCCGCCCGTCCCGTCCCGGCAGTTGGGATAAACTATCGGAAGTGTCCCGGGATGGACTTAAGGGACATGTTCGCAGGGCTGGGTCACTGAGCGCTTGTCGGTTTTCCTGTCTCACAGGGCTCTTGGGCAGGGATTGCTGTTTGTTGAAATGGTGCGTAATTGCCAAAATTACCACTAGGTAGGGCTCACGGCTGACCGGTGTCCCGTTCCTCCAGAGTCGGAGTGGGGATAGGGGGTTATAGATAATTTTTTGTATACTTGCTCGGGAATGAGCTCTGCTCATGTTCAGGGGCACTCTTGACACTCGGCACGTTCTCTCGGAGGATTCAAAGTTCTGGACAGAGTGGAGAGACCCTCTTACAACTGATAGCGGTGTGGCGGGGGGAGAATGCCGCGACCCGGGAAACTTGTGCCGACAGAGAGGTGCCATCCCCCCCCCCCCCCGCAGCCCCGGTTCCCGAATTTCCGTGTTATCCGAGAGACCCGCGCGCGCGCGTTTATCGTGGCGAAGGCGCGTCTTTCCGTGTGGGGCTGCCCTACACTTTCCGCGAGCCTTCTTCTGACCCTCCTGTATTGTGCACCCCCCTTTGCTGGAGGACTCGACTCGGGGGGGGGCATGTGCGCGCGCGCGTGTACGGGAGGGAGGGGGGAGGGGGAGGGAGGATGGATGAGCGAACAATTGGCTTAGATGCGGAAGCGAAAAGCGGCGGCGGCCGGCGCGGGGGAGGGGGGCGAGGCTGCGCTGAACTTTCACGCGTGGTTGGGAAGTTGCAGGCGGGGGGGACCTCGGAGGCGCGTCGCCCGCTCGGTGCGGGCCGAAGGGAAGAGGAGCGCGGATTTCCAGAGCGGGGGCGGGGGCGGCGTGCACTTGCTGGGCGGGCGCTGGGGGAGCCTGTAGCTCCTCTTCTCTCCGCTCCAAACCGGAGTCGCCTGGCGCGTCGCGAGGGGCTTGTCTGGAGCGCGCCGCGGAAGCGACCCTCGGCCGCAACTTTCCAAGGTCAGGAGTGGAAAAGCCGGCAGGCGTCGGCGAGGCAGGGGCTGCCCCCGCGCGCGGAGCGGAGCGGAGGGGGCGGGCGGCCGGGCGTGCAGGCGCCACGGGCCCTGCGTGGAGCCGGAGGGAGGCGCAGACGCCGGGTCCCCAGCCGCTTCGGGGGCGCGCGTCGGGGCGCGGCGCGGCGCCCTCTGCGCTTCTGGCCAAGCTGCGGAGTGGAGGCTGCGGCTCGGTGCTCCTCAGAGTTGTGTCTGCACAGTTGTTTATGTCTAGGGGGTGTGTGTGTGTAGGGGGGAGGCGCTCGCCTCCAAGCTGGAGCGGTCCTTCCCTGCGGGTGTCGCCTGGGCCGCGCTTGCGGGGACCCGATCCCGTGGCTGGCGCGGGCACTTGGTGCTGCTGCGCTGTGGTCAGGTGTCACCCCTGTTCGCTCTCCCTCAAATGGTGAATGACGGGCGTGGGTGCTTCGCGCGGGTGTCCGCGGGTGTCGTGCAAAAAAACTCTTCGCGCACCGGCGCTGCGCGGGAGCGCGTCCCACGGACCCAGCGCGGCTGAGTCCTGCCGCGTGAGGGGATCGGCCGGTTGGCCAAGTCTCCCTGAGCGGAGCCGCTGCGCAGCGCCGGCCCCCTCGCCCACCCGCGCTCGGCGCTGCCGCTGCCGCGGCTTCTTGGGCAGTTGCGCGCGCGCGTGCGCCCCTGTGCGCGCCCGCGTGTGCGCGCCGGGATTGGCCTCGATTCCCGCTTTAGGCGGCTGCCCCCTCTCGACACCGAGGTTGAAGGAAGGAGGAAGCCGCGGGTTCCTGGCTCTGATCTAACAGCTCCTGGCAGCCATCGGGCGCGTGGTGGGGGGAGTCGCTTCGGAGGCTGATGCGAATAGAAACCGAAATGAAAACCCGGCGGGCTGCTGGGTCCGGGGCCGCCGACGTGCCGAGGCAGGTGGGTGGCGGCGCTGGAATCGCGCTCCTGGCGGCTCTCCCTGCCCTCCGCCCCCTCCTCCTATCCAGTCACCATTAAATAAGCACTCCCGGCCCAGCCCTGGACGGTCCGCGCGGCATCAGCCCCAGCTCGATGGTCCAGGAAAGTGGAGCGAGGGCTCCGGCTCCGGCTCCGGCTCTCCCCCCCACCCCCAGGCGCGGGGAAGCAGCTGAGGATGGGGAGACGCCAGTGCGGAAGGGGGGGGGGAGCCGAGAGCGAGAGCGTGCCTTGACATGTCATTAGCCCAGGGCTGGATGTGTCAAGCCTGCGGTCTGAGGAGCCATTAGGAGGTGACTGACACTTCGCCTTGTTTATTGATCGCCTGGAGGAGGAGGAGGAGGAGGAGGAGGGGGGGAGGGGAGGGATTGAGGAAGGCAGCTCACGCCGGCCGGCCGGCTGGCTGCCGCTGTAACGATGCGCCTCCCGTCTCTTGCCCAGCCCTCCCGGGCTGCCTCCGGGAAAACCCCTCTCGCTCCTCTGGGGAGAGCTGATGTTCAAGGCGGAGAAAAAGTTTGCCAGGAGCCCGGCTGAGCGCCCTTCCTGCCGGCGCCTCGCGTCTGCTTGCATCTCTTGCCTTTTACAGCTGGGTTGCTGGGTTCTGGGGGGGGGGGAACGGGGACAGGCAGTCGTGAATTGCAGATGTGGCATCCTTGAGGACGGAGGAGCTTGGAGAGAGCGCTCCTGCGGAAGCAGCCCGGCAGTTGCAGCAGCGCCTCTTCTTTTCAGGGCTGCCCATCATTTGTCTTTTCAGCCTTTTCAGCAAGGTTGGGTGGGCGCTAATGAGGGCTTAGCCTGCATCTCCTTTTATCATTTGCAGAAGGGAGAAAGTTCAATTAAGGTACAAGCTGGGGCTGTGTGGAGTTGACTAAGAATGGAGGAAGGGTCTGATTTGTTTCGTGCGAAGCATCGCTTTCTTGAAATCCGAACTGAAGAGTGTTCTTTTCTCTTTTTCCCTTGCCCCCCCCTCCCTTTTTGCATCTAGGGAAAAGTTTGAAGACTCTTATGTCCAAAGGAATCTTACAGGTACATCCTCCAATCTGTGATTGCCCTGGGTGTCGAATTTCGTCTCCAGTGGTAAGATGATTGCTAAAACCCAAATGAAACACAAGCATTTCTCTGTTTTAATTAAGCACCTATCTTCTTGATCCTTCTATTCCTCCTCCCTTTGTGTTACTGTTATGTTCAGAGGGGCAACAGACAGTGGTGTAAAAGGCTATTGAGAGCTGTAGAGTTCTTGTACTGGATGACTGACATGATCAATGCCAGAAAGAAGGAGGGGACAGGGTGGTGACCCCCAAACCTTCTGGGATGGTTTGGTGGAAGAGACATTGGAACTGTCAAGCAGGCTGTTCATCATGGCCCCCCAGTGGCACCTCCTCCTTATATATTGCTCGGTAATGTAAAATTATATAAGAGGAGGTTTGAAATATATTAACACTCGGCACAAAGAGTTGCGCTCTGCTGCCAAAGAATGAAGGAATCTTACCTTGAAAACGAGAAGAACGTTTTTAAACATTTACAGTATCTTGAAAACAAGACCGATTTGTGTTTCCAACACATTAATGTTTGCAACATGTTCATAGAGATTTGATTAACTGCACAGCCTTAGTCTCACATGCACCTTGCTTGATATAGATGATTCTTCCATCAGTGGAATCTGTGTTCAAGTAAATGTGCTTATAAATGGCTCAACGCAGTGGAATTAGTGTTTTTCAAGGTACAACTTTGCGTTGGGAGAGGGAAAAGACAGTTCCCTCCCTCTCCTTCTTTAAATCATGCAGTTAGGAATGAGAAGTAGGTTTGCATCTGTGATTGTGAACACAGAACCTAGAGAGGGGATGGGTAATCCTGTATTGTTTTATCCCAGGGTATAAGAATGTGACATTGTGTGTGGACCACAGAATTTAAATAAGTGGTTACTTAGCTACTTGCCTTGAGAACATTTTGATCACTGCATGACAATGCAATTTTCCTGGGAAAAGGTGATGTCATTTGCGGTATCGCTGAATATGTATGGCTGACTGAACCAGGAGCATTTGAAAGTGCGCAGATGGGAGCGGAATTAGGAATTAAATATGTGGGTCCGTGAAGTGCCAGTGGTTGCTGACATCTGAAAGGGAGTTGATTAATTCTGACGCATTTGCAGAAGGGTAAAAAGTTTGGTAGTGTGTTTGCAGCCAAAAACCCCAGTTGGAGATCTGTTGGAGGAGGGTGCTTGGTGGAAGAGGGTAACCCACCTCAAACTAGTGATGACACAAAACAGAACTGATATTTATTTAATTTCATAGTGTATTAGAAAGTGCAGACGGAACATTTAAAGGCTTATGAGCATCAGGGGCACAATTGCCCTTGTGAACTGCTCAGAGATTCCGGTAGGACTATTAGAGCACTATATACATTCAATAAACAAATAATAAATTGATAGGGTTGCTTCCTAAATAGCCTAACGCAGGTAGGTAGAAGGTAAATTTGGACCTGCCAGCAGATCTTTTATAGCAGGTCAACAAGGAGTTTTGAATCCTAGTTGGTTTTTGTTTTGTTTTTAGCACTTGCTGCCTTATAACATGCTGCAAATGGATGTATACTGAAATGGAGAAAGTTTGGGGTAACTCGGGGTAGGTCTGTGTGAGCTGTGCTCAGTCCTGCTACTCAAACAAAGCTCGGTTTCCTGACTTCTACATGCACGCTTTCCGCAGCAGGCTCCAGTCGTTGGATTTCAGGTTGCTAGCGAAAGAATGCAATAGATTCCGGAGGCCTGGTGCGGCTTTCAGGCTTTTGCTGGGGCCAGGCCGGCTGCTTTTGCTGCTCATCCATCCTCTCTCTCACTGTGGCTCCTGCCTGCTTGGCGGGCCACTGTTGCGGCCGCGGCACTCGCTCACCACCGCCGTCGCTGGGGGCAGAGCGAGGGGAGCGGCCAGGGGGCTCTTGCAGTGGGCACCCGCTGGAGGTCCGCTCTTCTGCAGCTGCTTGACTCTGCTCGTCCCTGTTGCTGGCCCTGCACACGCCTTTGATTTGTGTCCCCCTCTCCCTGTCACTCAAATTGCCTAAGGATGGTCTGCTGCTTCAGCCTGGGTGGACCTGCCTCTCCCCATCCCTATCGGCGTGTTTGCGGGACAAGGACCTCCACAGAATTATGAGCCGCCCCTTTAGCTCAGCTGGAGAGAGCCCGGCATCTGCAGGCTGAACACCTGGACAGGCCTCACTGCCCATGCTGGTGGAGGCCCCTTCCATGGGGGGGAGGGTTGGGGGGGCAGGGAAATCTGTGTGAGTAGGGGGCCTGTCCATCCCAGTGCTTATGTTGTGCTTTATTGGAGCTATCTGCAAAGGATATGGACAGCTCCATGGCCGTGGCTCCTGTGCAGCACCATCTCTGTGGAATGCAGATGAAAGCTTCAGGGGTTAAGGAGCCCCACAGACATGGGAGTTGGCAGTCTTCCCAGAAAGGGACTTTGGGGATCTTTGGTTTTCACTGCAACTCCAAGATCCACCAACCAGAGCCAATGCGAAAGACGTAACACGGGGGTCTTGCTAAGCATTTAAAATACCGGGGGCCTGATAATTCTTTGGTGTCATTGGAAAGTTATTTTGCAGCTTAATTGCCTTTGTGGGGGCACAGCGATGGGGGAGTGACCCCTCCCTCCCTGGCGCTGATCCCCCTGGAAATTCTCCCCCTCCCTAAGATTTCTTAGTAGCTCCAACAGAAAGGTATTTTCTAAGCTTTCTCACTGTGCAGGGCAGGGGATGGGATGGGATTACAGCGTGTGGGAAGGGGTCCTTCTGGAAGATTGCTTCCCGCGCAGTAGTTAAGCCGAGAAAAGCCTCCCATCAGCACCAGAGTACACTTCGTTATCTAGGAGGTACTGTGGAAAATGGATTGAAGGCTGGAGCCCCGTAGGCCCAGGAGAAATAGATCCGTGGTGCCTAGTACTGCCTTTTAGGCCCAAACTTAAAAACACTCCTAGACGCAGAAATAAAGAGCAGGTGCCTGAACACATACTGGGCAGAGGTCTGTAGTTGAAAACCGAGTCCACAGTTCCTTTGCATGTAAGTCCCCCTTCGGCAGGTTAATTTGGGTAGGAAAAAGCTGTTTTGCTATGTTAAACAGCTGGGAGTCAGAAATCCTCACTGGTCTACTGCAAATCCACAAAAGGGTGGGCCGTAATGAATGGTTGTGTCAAGAGAAGCGTTCCTCAGCGTGGTGCCCTCTGGGTGTTTCAGTTTGCAGTTCCCACCCATTGCAACAATTGTCCGTGGTGGCTGGGGCTGATGGGGATGGCAGTCCAAAAAATCCATGGAGTGCTAGATTGGAGAAGGTTTGTCTATTCAGTGTTAGAAGACTCTTGTTTCTGTGGCAACAGGCCAATATGGCTACCCGGAAGCCTGGGCCTCATTATCTAATGGTGTCTTCTCTTTTGTGGGATGTTCCAGTGTTGAACAGGAAGTGTATGAAACACTTACTAACCCTTCAGGCCAGGTGAATTGGTGCCTTTGATCCCCAACAGAAATCTGGTGTATGACATGCCTTGGAAATGAGTATTAAGACATTCACAAGTTCAATCTAAAGTACTGCGTAGTCTGTAATTAAAAAGAGGAGAGAGACTTTGACATCTTTGCCTGTGTTCTTTTGACTCCTCATTGGGCTTCGATTCCGGTACGGTTCCCCCTTACAAGGAGAGAACTGCGAAGGTGCCTCTGGTGTAGATAATACTTTTAAATAGTTAGTCAAAAACAATCTAAAGAGATGTTAAACACTTAAAAGTTGTGTGCCTAGAAAAGTTGTATATCTAGAAATGTGGATAGTCCATCAAGTTGCTTCACTGTTTGTTTTAAAGTAATAGTGCTAGAGGCATGAAGACCAAAATGTTTGGTTGCCCTGATTAATTTTCATGCTAGGGTTACCTCTTTTAATCCTGGATGTTATAGTTGATGCGGTGATTGGTTTGAATCTTAATCTTTAAAAAAAATGGTACTAATTTGGAAGCATGGCAGATCCTCATTTTCTCACCACTGTAGTTCTGTGAGACTATAATATAAGACATTTGTTTCAATAGCGACGTGTTTTGCAGACATGCATTATGAGCTAAATAAAACCTTCAATTGGCACATAAATGTTTGAATAGTTGTTGGGAGAGGAAAAGCATTGAACATCTGGTTTGCAGTATCAGCCTGACTATCTGTCATTGACCGTTTATGGCAAAATAGTGATCCAATTTGTATTCAGCAAGACGTTTGCTGAAATGGACCTGTGAGGGGTGGATTGCCGCACGCTTTGGGGGAGGGACTTGTTCGCACACCAGTGTACAAACTGCGAAGACGTCTGTCAGGAGTCATCCAGAGAAGCCGTCGTGCACGTGTGTGTCTGCATGTCCTCGCTCGGAAATGTGGAAGATTCCGCCGGAGGCCAGACTCTGTTTGTACAAAGGGGGTGAGGGCGAAGAAGCACAAAGCCATCTCCACGCAGCGCTTGCCGTTGAACTGTCCCTCTCCTCTCCTTAGCCTAATTTAAAATCAATGGCTCCTAAGCATGTGCAGTCATCTCCAGATTACACTTTTCTCCTGATCAGTTTTGCAAATAAGCACATAAAATTGATTCCTCCCATCCCAGTGTTCCCCACCCAACTGCCTAGGTCCCCCCCCCCCCCCCCCCCCCCCCCCCCAGGCCCCCCCCCCCCCCCACTCGAGCCTGAAAGAGAGCCGGTCTTCCAAACAGAAAGCAAACCGTTCTACCTGGTCACCTGTAACTCCCCACAGGCAAGTGGCAGGCCTGCTTTTACGGGCTTGGCCATGATCTCATGGCTGGGTGGGCTGGCAGGGTCCCCACCAGAGCAAGGCGGCGCATGAGAGCAGGGCAGTGTGACACTTGCTCCTGTTGAAAGGGAAGGGATGGTGGCGGAGCAGCGTCCGTGTGCTTGGATCTGGGCGACACACTTTCACTGTTTAACTTGTTTGGGAGGTTATCTTGATGGCTTTACAGTAGACTTTTCAAAAGCCAGGAAATATTTAACTTTTAAAGTACTCTTGCTGGAGCCCATCCACCAAATATAATCCAACCCCCCCCCCCCCCCCCCGCGTTT